CACAAGTCTTGCAACAGGTGGCTTGGGTTATTCTTAATCACCCTGGGGTTGATTTATGTCCTGTAATTATCCTGTTCAATTTTCACCCCTGAAGGCAGGTTTTCCTATTTTTTGACATCATTAATTTTTAGGGAGTCTCTGCTAACAGAAAAAGAAGTTTATTCTTTTTTTGTAATATTTTGCAGGTTACCTGGGCCAGAGGATCAGATGCTGTGGGATCCTTTTTGAGAATTTCCATCCTGAGTGTTACCCTATTAGGATCCCTGACAGTGATCCTTTCTATGGGAATCTTGGTGAGCGCTGTCAAGAGTACACAAGGTCTGGAAATGCTCCAAGAACTGCCTGCACACTTGGTAAGTATTCCATTTTTTATCAATCAATAAACCAAATGTCTTTTACCATGGGAAATCAAATATGGGACATGCAATGGGTATACCTTCTTTCTCTGAATATAAATTTGACTGATTTTTATGTCTCCAAGATTAAAATTTAGCAGGCTACAATATAATGATGAGCCAGATAATTTTTTATAAATTTGAATCATCAAATACTCAAATTACTTGGATGTATTTTCTTATGTGCCAAAAATTTCAATTTTTGCCAAAACATTGGCAGATTTTTCTCATTTTCCTTTTCAGTAGTATTGAACAAACAGAATTTTATATGAAAATTGTATGTTTTCACCTGGCTTGATGAGCTGAAAATTTCACAAATATTATTTTATTTCATGAAAAAGAAAAGTTTACATCAATCTGTGGAAAAAGTGTGCCATATTAAATATAATAATTACTGCTGAAGTGCTGAGTAAAAAAGCAATTTTTGTAAATTAGATTCATTATTGCAAAAACTATGTTAAATACTTTAGTAATGTAGTGTGTCTAGTTCAATTCCTCATATTGACCAGCAGAAAGGTACAGTTTCTTTTTAATCTCTTTGAACCAATTTTGAAAATGTAAAAATTGTTTATCCAAGCATAAGCAGTGAATAAGGTGTCTTTCAAGTTCTATGCTTAAAAATAATCAAATGATAAAATTTAAATAAAATAGCTTTTGGAAGGCATGAAAAAAAAACCTACCTGTCCCTGATATGCAGTGAATACTCTGGTGGGCATGAGTTTGTGTTGGAAAGAAAAGGGGAGAAAACAAGGCCCCTCTGTAGTGACCTGACCTGTGACCCAGGCTGAGGTCAGACCACAAAACTGAGCAGTGATGAGACCCTGGTAACCTCACCTTGGGCAAAAAGAGAAGAAGATTCACAAGCAGAAAACTGAAAAGCTTCATGATGAAACAGATTCCTCCTTTTTTTTTTTTTTTTTACTTCCATATGACCTCACGTCTTTCTCTTCCTGATCTCAAAGCCCTTTAAAATTTAAGCAGCCTTATTGGAAATACAAAATAATTAGGACAGTTTTTTTTTTTTAAACAGATCAAGAGACTTAAAATTGTGAAAAAAGTTATTGCCTTCATTGATTCCTTTAAAATGGATCTTTTAATTACTGTGAATAAGAATTTATGATGAAACTGATCTTCCTCATTCTTCCTTGTCCCTTCTTCATGATCTCATAGACTTAAAATCAAAGTTTTAAATTGAAATGGCAATGCAATTTTTTCCTAAATCATCCATTCATCAAGGAAATCCTTTAGAAATTTCTTGCTCCTCCACTATATGCCAAAAATGAATAAAATTAAATGCTTGGCCATGATGAACTTGACTCATATTTTCTTATTTCACACCACATTCATGTTTGCACTGAATATTCTTCCTGATCATAATTGAGTCTTTTTTATGAACAGAACCATTTCAATTCTAAGGAAATGGAAGAATCTCCTTGATAAGTGATTCAAATTGTATAACCTGTAGAAAATGGCTGTTTATGTTGATTACATTAAATTTGATTTGCATACTGAATTTTTTATTTTTCGTTTCAAAAATATTTTACTTGTTTCTGATTACTTATATGCCTTTCAACTTTCAAATTTTATTCCAATAAGTGTGAAATTAGTTCCTTTACTGAACAATCCTTTTTACTTTCATGCATAGAAAAAAATCATTCCCTTTAAATTAAACTTCTTATACAGAAGTTGATTTATTTGCTCATTTTTATTTTAGAGTCATATTTTTTCTTCTTTATTCCCTTTTCCTATTCTCATAGTATGACAAAATTCTATTGCTGATGGTGTCATTTTTATATTAAATGGAAATTCTCCCTTTCTGGAAGCCATTAAAAAATATTTTCAATTAACAGACTTGTGTAAATTAATTCTTTTATGTCTCACAGGAACCCAATTGTGATTGAATCCAAACTTGGTTGTGTAATGATATACTAAAGCTCTGTTTCTGAGGAATTTTGTCACAAATGATGAGTTCAGACCATTATATATATATTTTTTTAGTGTGGTTTCAAAAAAACATGTTTCAAAAGTCAATGATGAGTGTAAATTAGTTGAGACAGTTAAAAGAGAAGCAGGCAGAATGGTATGTGACCTTGCTTGCATGGAACATGGGCTCAGGAGGGCTCATTACCACAGTCACAAATCACTTTCCAAACCCAGCCCTCTTCAAAATACCTAATGAAGCCATTGGCAAACCAGGAAAAAACTATAATGTATAAAGAAACCAGTCCCAAGTGGGATTGCATGCCCAGCTATATTGGTTACACAACCCACCATGCACTGGGAAGTATATACCAGCAAAAGTGACACTGGGCTCATGACCTCTTATGCAACCATGGTCCTTCCCCCCCCCCCTCATTTTTTGTTAGTTTTGTTTATATCTTCCACCCCAGAAAATGTTCACCTGCCAGTGCTGGAAACAAAAATTTTTTTCAATTTTAAAGTACCATCTTTTTCTCATCTCAGGACCCAGAGAGCAGATTAACCAAGTGACAGCTTTCCTGGATGGCAGTGTCATCTATGGGTCATCCAAGGAGGAGGTGTCTGAGCTCAGGGCCAGCAAAGGAGGGTTGCTTAGTGTTCAATCTGGCCCTGCTGGGGATCTTCCACCAGCTGACCCCAGTATCCTGGACTGCAGGACAAATGCCACTTCAAACCTCAGGTATTTAATATTTAAAATTAAAATTTTACCAAACTTGTGTTCAAATACAATAATTCTATTTTTAAAAAGGGATGAAATGAATCAAAGTTATATTATCAGAAAAAATTAAGAACCAACACTTTTAGGAATTTTTTATTTCCTGAGTTTTTTTTTAAATTCAAACCTTTACTTGTGGAAATGTAGAACAACTTCAAAAATTTATAAACCATGGCTATGACACTGTTTTTTTATTAAATAAATAACAATTTTGTAGAGTGATCAGAAACATATAAAATATAAATTAAAATAAAAGCAGATTTGAATATTGGCTGTATGAACTGTTCTTTGTTATCCCATTTATGATTCAAAAAGCAATTCATCGCCATAAAAACTTTAAAAGTTGATTGGATGTCTTGATTTCTAAAGTTCAACCACTTTGGTATGTAGTTTTAAATGGCACAAAACTCACAGCGTGTCTCATCTGATGATATTTGCATCAATTTCTACAGGTGTTTCAAGGCTGGTGATGTGAGGGCTAATGAAGACCTAGGAATTGCATCCATGCATTCATTGTGGGTCAGAGAGCACAACAGACTTGCAAAGAGCTTGACACAAATCAACCCCCACTGGGGAGATGAACAGGCTTTCCAGGAAGCCAGAAGAATTGTTGCAGCTGAGATACAGCACATCACATACAATGAATTCTTGCCCAATGTCCTTGGTCAGGTATATAAAGAAATCTTCATTTTTTTGCCATTGCAGAAAAGAAATTAAATAAATTTTTTTTTTAAACAGGACATAGTTGAACAGTATGGCCTGAACCCACAAAAGGCAGGTTTCTTCACTGGCTATGACATCAACATCAACCCAGGGGTCTCCAACAGTGTTGCCTCAGCTGCCATGAGATTTGTTGCCTCCATCATGGGTGACAAGTTGCCTTTCTTGTCCAGGGAAGGAGTCATGAATGAAGTGCCAATTGGCAAGACCTTTTTTGCTCCATTTGAACTTTACCTCCCTGGGAAGCTGGAGGAACTTTTGAGGGGCCTGGTTGAGTCCAGAGTGCAAACTGAGGACTCTTTCATTGCTGAGTCAATGACTAATCACCTTTTCTATGACCCTGGGACTGGTAAGGCTCACATTTTGTCAGCATTGACCAAACTTCTGAACATTTAAAGAAGAAAACTGTGCCTGAAAAGCTGATGTCAAAACCATTATTAAGAGTTGTTGTCTTAACTAGCTTAATTTTCATTGGGGAATTGTTGATCAGACAATTCTTTCAAATTAAACTGCCTTGACATTTGGTGTTGAAGATTTGAATCATTTTCCATGTATTTTTGAAGAATCAAAAATAGACTTCAACAATCTTTACAAGTGCGTCTTTTATTTCCGTTTCACAAAGCGTAGAAATATATGAGCATGCGGCGTTGAGGTTTTTGCGGCAAGAGTTTGAGGAGAGTAAACTTAACACACTATTGCAGACACTAGTATATATAGACAATTGCGTTTGAGGTCAGCGCCAGCCTAGCAACCAATTCAAATTGGTGTCAACATACTTGGTTGTGCAGCAACCAAGGTAAAAGGTGCAGAGCATAAGAAGGCATTTTTACATACGTAAAACGTGCGGGTTTTGCATATGATTAACAATGTGGAACAAACATGAAGCAGACAAGGGATTGTTACAAAGTGCTAAATATTGTAGTCTTGACTTTTATTAGACTACAGAGTAAACAAAGCTAGTCAAATTTTGAATTTTATTCCCCCCTTATTGGTTTTAAAAATTTCTCTGGAGACACTCAGAAGTGAGAACCTCACAAAACATTTGGCTCAATACCTTTAAATATGCCTAGAATTGCTGAAAGAGTGAAAGGACACTTTTTCTTTATGGATAACTTCCAGAAACAGAAATGTGATTTTCAATTGTTTTTACTTTGAAATTACTAACAGGACTTGGATTGGACTTGGCAGCTCAGATTATCCAACAAGGCAGAGACCATGGAATAGCAGGCTACAATTCCTGGAGAGTGTTTTGTGGTCTGCCAAAGGCAACTCATTTCAGGGAATTTTCTGATGTCATGAGCCAGTCCTCAGTTGATGCCCTCAAGGGAGTCTACAAGTACAGTCTCACAATAATTTCATTTTTTTAAATTTGATATTAATTTTTAAACATTTTCTGAAGCCATGTGGATGATGTGGACTTGTTCAGTGGAGGTCTGGCAGAAGTGCCAAACAGAGGTGCTTTGGTGGGTCCTACTTTTGGATGCTTGTTGGGCAGACAGTATCATTACCTCAGAAGAGGTGATAGATACTGGTATGAAAATGACATTCCACCAAGTTCATTCACCAAAGGTGAGTCTTTCCCATAATAAAAAAAATGTCCCCTTTAACTTGATACATTTTTTTTTCTAAAATTTCAGAACAACTGTATGAGCTGAGAAAGACAAGTTTGGCCAGAGTCATTTGTGACAATGTTGACATGGACAGTCTTCAACCCCGTGTGTTCATTCATGCTGATCCTTTCCTGTAAGATTTACTTTATAAAAGATGTCTTTCAAGCATTTTAACCAATGAAAACTGTTTTCAATATCATCAAAATGAAGGAATGCTCCAATGGCCTGTCATGGCAGCACACTGAAAGCAATGGACCTCAAGCCCTGGAAAACAGCCTCACCAAATTTTGTGGTGCCTGGAGAAGTGCTGCAAAGCTCTGTGGACAGAGCCAAGAGGGATTTAGGAGCTGTCAGGGATGTTGAGTGGGATTTATGGCAACAACGTAAGCCAAAATGGGAAACTCACTCAATACATTTGTATACATCTCATAATTTTAATTTTCAGAGTTGCAAGCTGACCCCAAGTCTCCTGTTGGCACAGCTTATGCCTTCCTGAGGCCCAAAAGAAACGCCCTCAGGGTTGCCAACACTTCTTTCATCCTGGAATTTGCCTCCAAAAGGTTCATCAAGAATTTTGTCAATGAGTAAGTTTAGATTTTTAATGAGAAATTCCTTGCTTGGGAAGAATTAAAAAAAATTATTATGCAGACAAGGAAGACCTTTGAAGGACCTTGAAGGAGACAGCAAGGCTCCACAGAATATAAATGACCTGATGACTTCCCTGCCCAACATTGATGTCACAGATGTCATGGAAATCCCTCATGTAGGTTCTTCGAAGTTTTATCAACACATATTTGGCTAAATTATGCTCATGTCCACAGGTCTTTGACTGTGATGAGCAAACATTGCCCTGTGACCACACTTCAAGGTTCCCAACATTCACTGGATGGTGTAACAATCTTCAGCACCCTGAGTTTGGGAAAGCCACCAGGGCATTGGCAAGACTCATGAGACCTGCTTATCTTGATGGTGATTCCTGAAAGTTTATTTTTTTGTGAAAAAAAGTACTAAAAACTTTTCAAAATTTTAAACATGATTCAAAGGTATTGGAGAGCCAAGAGTGAAAGCATTGAGTGGGAAACCATTGCCATCACCAAGAAAGGTCTCCATGATGGTACATGATGATGTGTCTCACCTGCATGCCAGGTACACTCTGTTGACCATGCAGTTTGCACAGTTTCTGGACCATGACATCACTTTCACTCCAGTTAACAAAGGTGAGTCAACTCAACTCTTTCATTATCATTATACCAGTTGGCAAAATATTTTTTTTTACCCAACAGGATTCAGTGATTCCATTTTGGATTGCAAGAGATGTGATGCAGAGAACACCATTCATCCAGAATGCATGCCCATCTTTATCCCAGAAGAAGACACTTGGTATCCAAAGTCAAATGGCACCACTGGGTCCAGATTTTGTCTGTCCTTTACCAGATCACTTCCTGGACAGCTCACACTAGGTATATAAAACCCCTGGATATTTAAATATAGTTGCATTTCTGAGAGTGTTACATTTATTGGCAATTATAAGGAAGAATCCAATAAGCCCAGATACAATTCTCAACAGCTACCCCTCTATTTCATATAATTGAAATAAGTATTCATTGTCCTGCAAGAAAGTAAAAGTTAGAAATTTTGAATATTTCAGTCCTTATGGGCATGAGCATGTTCATTATAAATTTTTCATTTGGCTAATATTGAACATAGACATTCTTTACCTACTTATTGCATCTTTTATGTCAACCTTTCTTTTAAAAGTTTCTAAAAATATTATCCTCATCACCGTGAATCAAGTGTCATCTCCAATTAGCACTGTTTGATCAAAAACTTGCTCTTGACAAAAACGTCAAGTAAAAGATCCAACGTGGTTTTATATTGGAAGTTTCGGAACTGGGATTTAAAATTTCAGAAGCATGTGAGTGACATCTACATTTGGCAGTGAAGACATCAGCTGGCCATTGCTATTTTGCAAAGCATGGTGGTGGTCTTTCATTCAAATCTCTCAGAAGGGTTCCCAATTTGTTGTAGTTTGTAAAATGAGGACCAACATTGAAAATGTGAAAAATCCTTGAAAAATGTCTAGGTGATCCCTCTTGGAGACAAAGTATGTAGACAATGAAATAAATTTGAAGCTTCAGCAGCAATATCCAGACACAATCTTGACCCTGAACTTGACCCCTGGTTATTCTGCTTCCCCCTTTTCTGTGGGAAATTACTCCACAGGTTACAGAGAACAAGTGAACCAAGTGACAGCATTCATTGATGGGTCTGCGGTTTATGGAGCTGATTTGTGTGAATCACGCAAACTGAGAACACTCAAGGATGGTCTTTTGAGAGTACTTGAAGGTACCAAACATGTGGGACAACCACTGATGCCCAGGGTTGACTCTGACAAGGAGTGCAAGGCACCTTCAGGGTTCTGCTTCACAGCTGGTAAAATTATCTCAACAATA